ATGTTCAACGGTCGTGTATGTGCGTGCGTGCACACCCATGTGCACATCAGAGACTAACATGGCTACAGAGGTGGCCAAGGGCTGGGAGGAAAAGGGCTGAACGGGCCTTCATCTTGGGGCTCCCAGGAGCTCTCAAGTTTAAAGCAGTAATTACCTCAGCAAGAAAATGGAGAGCTACAAATCAGAAACCGTAATGTCAAGGACATTTAGTTCTTCAAGTTTTCAAATAGTTTCATTTCTGTTATGCTGCTTCCCTGATTCAGAACTTGAAAAGGCGGAAAGGAGGACTAAAGGCACTGGTTAGGATCAGAGCAGTCACTTTGGCGCTTGAGAGTGGCCCTGGGTAATTGAAAAGACCTAACAAGTTCCTGAAAATGACATTTTTAAAATGATTCCGTTTTTTCTTACTTTTTTTTTTTTTTTTTTTTAAGTTTGGGGCTGGCAGGTGGCCTGGTGGATAAGAACATGACTCCCACATAGCCAGGTCAAGTCCTGGACCTGGCAGCTTGCTTTCCCACTCTCTCTCCTTGTTCTCGCTCTGTCCCTGTCTGGTCAGATTAAAAGAAGGGAGAGAGAGAAAGAGGAGAGAGAGAGAGGAGAGAGAGAGAGGAGAGAGAGAGAAAAGAAAGATTCTCTAAAAAAAAAGTTCATTTCTTCCATGAATGAGAGAGAGAGTATAAGAGACAGACAGCACTCTAACCAGGTCTTCATGCCGTGGTCCGCCCCAGCTTCAGTCTGCCCCACTGTGTGCCCGGCATACTCAGGGAGGTCTCTAGTCGCAAACCTGGACTCTTCCCATGTGACCCAACTTGCAGAGCATTGTGTTTTGTCCTGTACCACTCTTTGGCTCCATTTTCCTTTTAAGGATTGAGAGTCGTAATTTATTTATGTATTTATTTATTTTTGTAATTTTTGCTGTAGGTTGTATGTGCTCACTGGAGTTGGGGGAAGAGAGAAAAACAAAGTAAATGAGAAAGCACCCTCCTGGGGGATGGCCACACCTCAATCCCTTCTCCATTTTCTTCTTGGGATCTTGTGCATACATGCACACCGGCCCAGAGTGATTTTCAAGCTGCTGGATCCAGGACTTGAACCGGTTGGCCATGTGGGAATCCAACGATTTAACCATCACTCCATCTGCTGACCCCATCATATCTTTTTTTTTTTTTTTAAGGTTTTTGCCATAAGGCATATGTGTTCCCCAAAGAGAAAGAGAGGGAGAAGGGGAGAGAGAGGAAAAGAGAGAGAAAGAGAGAGAGAGAGAGAGAGAGAGAGAGAGAGAGAGAGAGAGAGAGAGAGAGAGAGAGAGAGAGAGAGAGAAAATCACCACAAGGGGACGGCAACACCAATCCCTTCTCTTTTCTTCTCTCAGGATTTTGGGTACACATGCACGCATTCCCTGGTGTGATTTTCAGGCTGCCAGGTTTGGGACTTGAACTGCCATCATCCATGTGGGAGCCCAGAGCCTTAACTACCATGCCACCTGCCAGTCCCATAACCTTTTTTTAAATTAATTTTTCCCCAGGGTGCATGTGCTTACCACAGAAGGCCAGAGAGACAGGGAGAAAGCAACCTCAATGGGGTATGGTCATGCCATAATCCCTCCTCCTCTAATTATCCATCTGATAGGTACTTGGTATGCAAATACATAGGCCTGGCATGCTTCTCAAGCTGCTGGGGCCAGGACTCGAAACATGTGGTTGACCATATGGAATCTGGCTTCCTTAACCACCAGGCCACAGAGTGACCTGTCGTATCTCTTTAATCCAGAACAATTCCGTAGGTTTTGTTTTTGTGTTTCAGAATATATTTCATGATTCAAGGTCTGTTGTTTCCGGTTTAGGTACAAGTCAAACACGTTTCAAGGAATATTCAGGGTTATGTATCTGCTTCACATTGGGGAGTACATGACACCCATTTGTCCAGTTTTGTCCTGTTATTAATTGTGAACATTCCAGATTTCTCCATTATTTTAAACTGTTAGTGTGTATGCTTTCACCAGAGACGGGCACAGAGATGGAGAGAGAAAGCATTCTCTAATGGGACATGGTCATACCACAATCCCTTCTCCATTTCTCTGTTGCTGCTGGGATCGTGGGCATGCACATGTACCTGGCATGTTTAAGCCACAGGGTCAGGACTCAAACCACAGTTAGCCATCTGGGCTCCAACTTCCTTGAACCAGTAAGCTACAGGGCCAGGCCAGCATTCTGCATTGTAGACAGTACCTTTATACCTTCATGATTAGTAAGTAATCTGTGAGATGATTCTTTTAACAGTAAGAAGCAGTCTTTTTTCTTTTTTTAATTTTTTAAAACTTTCAGTAGAGCCTTTTTTTTTTTTTTTTGAAGGTTTAGTTCTTTAACATGTGAAAGAGACAGAGCGAAAGTGAGAAACAGCATCCCCAACTGGGTCTAGATGTCTTGATCCCTTCCCAGCCTGGGATCATGGGCATGCACCTGTCCTGCCTAGTGGATTTAGGAGGCCTCCAGACTTAAATGACTGGGTTTGCAGCATAGTGTCTTGTTTTCCACTACTTCCTGACTTCAATAGCATTCTAATAGGTCTTAGATAATATTGTGTCAGAGAAGAAATACACCCATCATGGACATCTGTAATAACATAGTTCAAGGGAACCAGCAGTTAGCGTAATGGCTATGTAGCTGGACTCCCACGTAGTCGACTGCGGTTTGCTCCCCGGAGCCGGTGGCTTAAAACTCCAGCCGGCGTGTGTGTGCCCAAGATCCCTAGAGGAGAATGGAGGACAAAGGATTGAGGCGAGACCATCCCCTGGGGGTGGGGAGGGTGATTTCTCGCTTTCTGTCTCTATGTCTCTGTCTGGCGAGCGCACGTGCCCTATAGCGAAAACCTCTCAAAAAAAATTAAAATAACATAGTTCATTAAATATTTACTGCGTAGCCACTAGGCTATGTTATGCCAAGTGGTAAGACTAAAGGGGTGAACACTGACTGTAAGAATGCTTCACATGCTAAAGAAAGGGCAAAATACCACAGGAACATACAGGAGCGTGACCAAGACCATTCAATGCGAAGAAATGGAAGTTAAGAGAGATGAAATGACTGGACCAAGATTTTAGATCTAATAGCACTAGTAAGATGAGAGCTGTTTTTTTTTAACTGCCCTATCCAGTGTTATTTCCATTAGAGCACCAGGGACCAAAGGGTGGCATGGTGGTTAAGGCAGTAGATCCCACATGGTGGAATACACAGTTGAGTCCTGGACCTGGCAGCTTGAGAAAGACGCTGGACACATGTGCATGGACACGTGGTGTGCACCCAAATTGAGAGGAGAATGGAGAAGGGATTTCAGTGGGGCCATCCTCTGTCCCCAATCCCTGCCTGGGAGAGGGGGTGATTCTCACTCTCTCTTTCTCCAAGGAGTGCACATGCCTTATGGCAAAAATCTACAAAACCAACCAACCAATGAAAATCAGAGCACCCAATAGCTCTATTTAAGGCTGGTTCTCCATGCTGAAAACAATGTACATACTTTACTATGTTATTAAAAGAACAAGCCTTCTACAAACCCACCATTAAGTGCTTTGGGAGGAATTTTGTGTACACTGTAACATTAAACTGGATGTAGACTAGTTCAGTTTTGCCTCAGGGAAGTTTTTTTTTTTTTTAATAGTGCCAATGTCACACACATACGCATAACCGGATATTATTCATATGCCACACCTTAAATCAGAACAAGATTTTTCTTTATGCAGATCAGGAAACAATTTAGAAGTATCTATATACATCCAAATCTTGTAATTACCAGTAGTAATCGATACTAGGTTTTGGAAAACAATGCAGTTACTCTTTAAAGTGGGAAGCAGGGATCAGTGTGAAATATTGGCTGCACTAATGATTTGCGTTTTGATAATATAATTTCTACTGTATAACTAGATAAATTAAGGACGTACTTTTACACAAATCTTTTTATTTATACGATTTGTTTACATTTATTTAGTTCATCCTGCTATGGTCAGGACTATCACCGCTTCAAACTTTAAAAGCTGAATCTTGTGGTCAGCTTTTAGGCATTTTGGTGAATGATGGAATTGACCGATTTCCTGCT